GAGCTCAATCCTTGAGTAGTTCCAATACAGGCCAGAAATTGACGCCAGAATCGAGCTGTGAATTGAACCCCGCGGTCTGATATAATCCGTCGGGGAGCTCCATGTAGACGATAAATGTGCTGTACAAATAGTTTCGCTAGTTGCGCTGCAGATGGCAGCCCTTTGCAGGGTATAAAATGAGCCTGCTTTGAAAATAAGTCTATTACCGTCCATATGACTGTGTAACCTTTTACATTTGGTAACTCCACCAGGAAGTCCATGCCAATATCTTGCCATGGCCGTATCGGATCAGACACTGACTGTAACAATCCCATTGGCTTCTTAGGTATTACCTTTGCCTGTGCACAAACCCTACATTCTTTTACGTATGTCTCAATATCTTTCCTTAAGCTTGGCCACCAAAATCGCCTTCTTGCTAGGTGTAATGTTTTTACAAAACCAAAGTGACCTGCTACTTTGGAGTCATGACATTGATGGTATACCCGGCTGCGCACTTCCTGAGGTATATACAATTTATCGCCATACCAGGCCAAACCATTACGATAGGTCAATATCGCTGGATTCGCTGATAGCCAAGGATCAGTTACTAAAGCTGTTTTTATTTCTTCTTCAAAAGATGCTAGCTTTGTGCAAACTTCTGCCTTTTCGGGCTCCCCATTACACTGAGGTATGACAGCCTGGATCACCTGTTCCCGTTTGCTGTCATATTGGGGCATTCGGGAGAGTGCGTCCGCTAGAAAGTTCTTTCCACCCGGAACAACCTTTAAACAGAACTTGAAACGTTGAAAATACTGTGCCCATCGGACGTGTTTAGGCGCTAGTTTTCTTGGTGTTTGAAGCACTGTTAGATTTTGATGATCTGTCCAGACTTCGAAGGGATGTTGAGCCCCTTCCAACAGATGGCGCCAAGTGGACAATGCCCATTTCACTGCAAATGCTTCTTTTTCCCACACTGCCCAACGTCGTTCTGTTTCAGTGAATTTTTTGGACTTGTAGGCACACGGTTGTAGCATATTTTTCTCATTACGCTGCAATAGAATAGCGCCAACGGCTACATCGCTAGCGTCCGCCTGTACAATAAAGGGCTTGTCCGGGTCAGGATGTGCCAATAACGGCTCCTGTGCAAACAGGCTTTTTAACTTTTCAATGGTCCATTCCAGCGGTTGTTTTGGTCGGGGTTTACCAGTATTGTGTTTGGTACGTAACAACTGAGTCAATGGTAGGGCCACATCAGCGAAGGACGGTATGAACTGACGATAAAAATTAGCGAACCCCAGAAACCGCTGTAATTGGCAACGAGTCCTTGGGGCTTGCCATTCTAATACACTGCGTATCTTATTGGGATCCATCTCTATTCCCTTCGCAGAAACCCGGAATCCTAAGTAATCAATACGGTCTTTGTGGAATTCGCATTTTGATATTTTACAGTATAGTTTGGAATCTAGTAATTTTCGCAACACCGTTCGAACTAATTGTATGTGGTCTTCCAGTGTACTCGAGTATATAAGTATATCATCCAAGTATACCAGTACACCCCTATAAAGATGGTCATGCAACACTTCGTTTATTAACTGCATGAAGACAGCCGGGGCTCCCTGTAGACCGAAAGGCATCACCTTGAACTGATAACTCCCTAAGGGACAGTTAAAAGTGGTCTTCCACTCATCCCCTTCCTTTATCCGTATTCTATAATATGCCTCTCGAAGATCTAATTTTGTGAAAATCTTGCCAGTGGCCAAATGGGCAAGGAGGTCTTTCATGAGAGGTAGCGGATAAATGGGTTCTACGCATACCGCGTTCAGTCCTCTGAAATCTACACATAACCGTAGTCCTCCATCCTTTTTTTCATGAAATATTACGGGTGCTGCTATTTTAGAGCGCGCCGGCTCTATAAAGCCCCTAGCCAGGTTTTTATCGATATACTCCCTCATTTCCTTTAGCTCAGCGAATGTCATGGGGTACATTCTGGGCTTAGGCAACTTTGCCCCAGGAATAAGTTCGATGGCACAATCTGTTGCCCTATGGGGTGGCAGAGTGTCGCAATCATGTTCACTAAATACTGCTGCCAGGTCGTTGTAGACTGACGGGTGTCCGGGTCCGTCCCCGTCCGGTATTGGGTCTACAGCACCCAGCCCTTTATCCCCATTATGATCAGGTGTGGGTAGTGGCTGAGGACCCACGGGCAACCGCAATCGTCGAGACCCATCCTCCCACCAGATGATCGGTGTCTATTTATCCAGCCAGGCCAATCCAAGAATGAGAGGTTCGGTCATGGAAGGGACCACGATGAATCTGATAACCTCCCAATGACCACCTACATCCATCCTGACTGGTTCGGTCACCAACGTGGTTGGAGCCCCCCCTAGCAGTGAACCATCCACCTGCTCGAATCGAATTGGGGATTTTAGTCGAGTCACCCTAATCCCCATCTGTTGTGCTACCCCCCTATTAATTAAACACCGGGTGCATCCGGTATCAAGCAATGCCTGAAAAGACCTCGCTTCCCCAGTATTTGGGCTTGTAAGAGTTACTGGAATGGTGAATGGGACGATTGGTTCACTCACCATTGAATCTTCTACAGGACCGTCCTCCTCGTATTCCTGCAACATGGGGGAATGATCACCGGAAGCTGGCTGTATCGGTGTCTGCCCCGTTTGGTGGGCTACCCGTGACTTCTCCGTTGTTTTCTGCGGTGTAGAGCCTGGTTTGCCGATCGCCGTTGGTGTCCCTAGTATTGCCGGTAGTCCGCACTCTGCTGCTCGGTGCCCTGGTCGGTTACATCGGAAACACCTAAAGGTTGTCTTTGGGCGCGTTGCTTCCGGTGTGGCCTGGACCATACGGCCTGTGGGCGGGTCCTGGCCCCGGCGGGGTGGTAGTCTGTTCTCACGCCCACTGGTATGCTCCCTCAACCCGATGTCCAGTTCCATCGCGGCTTTAAACCAATCGGACAGACGTCCCCCTATCCCTCTCACTATACATGCCCGGCGTATCTCGTTATCCAAGCCATTACAAAAGTGGTGGACCAGTAAACGATCCGGCCACGATCGCAGTCTCCCCGCTAATTTCTGGAACTCACGGATGTAATCTTTTGCCGGTCTCCCTCTTTGTCGCAGGCCCACTAGTTGGGCCTCCGCCCATTGTAAGCGTGTTGGGTCCTCGAATCTAATTCTTAACGCATCCAGGAAGAGCCCCACATCAGCTAGCTCTCTGGCTTGGTCACTATAGAGATCAGCTGCCCATGCAGCTGCCTCTCCCTGTAGACTCGATGTGACTGCGACCACCATCGACCAATTGGATGAATACAGAGTGGAGTAGCGATCTAGATGGTTCAGTACATGACTAAGAAAGACTGCTAAGCGATCTGGGTCCCCGTCAAATGTAAGCGTTATAGGGGGAGGGTTCCACACCATATTCTGAGGCCATGGAGGTGGCACCTGTCCTCCATACCGACCAGCCTCCAGAGATGGTCTAGGACGAGTCCCTGCTCCTCCCCCCGTGGGTCCTGCGCCCATGTCATCAGGGTCTGCCGGCCTGTCCCCCAGTCCCCTCACTCCCATTCCATAACGTGTACGATCCGTCCCCACCTGCCTTGTGGTAGGTTCCCGCAACGTAAACTGGTCATCCGGGTGCAGGTTAAGCTCTGTACCGGACAACCGGAACTGGGAGGTGTAAGGTCGGCTATCCTTGCTAGGGCTATGTATAGTAGCGGGGTATATACGTTCCCCAAACTGGTCTCTGAGCACATCCAGCGTGTACTGCCCCGGGGCTGTGGAGCAGCTCCATTCCTCTTCATAGTCTCCAGTGACCCGGCATTCCCTCCAACCGGTAAAGCTTGGCGCCAACCGTCGTCCGCGACCATCCTCAGGGAGCCCCAGCGTTGGGCTAAACCACCATTCACCCCCCGTATCCACCGGACGTTGCTGTCGGGTTTTTGGACCCTCAACTACGGGAGCACATATTTTTTCCCTCCGTCGAACCACCGTTGGCTCCTCCCCTGTGCCGCCCGCTGCCAGGCCCTCCAGCTGTTCACCGGACTCCTCCGAGTCTTCAGCCATGACAGGGTCCTCTTCCTGCGTTCCCTCTGCCATAGCTCCTTGTTCCTAGCGAGCGCCGGGTGTTGGAACAACTAATGTGAGTGAGGGCTGACTTAATGTAAGCTCGTCCTAACTATAGGCACGGAACCCAAGAATTAGGAACGATGCAGGATTCAACAAGTTTCAGGATTTATTATGTTGCTAAGTTGAAAAGAAAGTCAGCCCTGAGAAACCTCCCATTCCAGCGTATTAAATAAGCCCCGCCACCACACCTCAATTACCAATCACCGCTCCACCCTCGCCACACCCTCATGTTTGTCAGACCCAGCATCCCAGTTAACTGAAAACAGCAGATTAATTCAACTCAAGTCCCTTCAGACGCGCGTCGCAGGCAGAGCGTCATTAGCTGATCGTCGGCAGCCCATTGGAAATAACACCATCCATCTGATTCGCGGTAGCCCAAATCAGTCCCTAGACGCGCGTCGCAGGCAGGACGTCATCAGCTGAGCGTCGGTATCTCTAGCGCCGCCCATCTGACTTGCAGCGTCACCGAGGCCTCTCAGCAGCGTCGCAGCCCGCTTATTCAAGATGTTTTACGATGGGTCTGACAGCAACATTGTAACAGAAGCATTTACAGATGAATTTTTTAAAAGATGTAAAGTGCCTTATGCAAATTTATATTTGATAAGGAGGGATTTGAAGTTAGAACTGTGCAGACTTATAAGACTAATTATTCATGCAGTAAGCTAATCCAGTATCCAGTTCAATAAAGCTTGTTTGCTAACTTATATTAGAAGTTAATTGTCTCTACTTTTGTTCTCGTCATTGTTACGGCTCCTTCAAGGTAAAAGAAGGAAAAGCACACTGTGAGGTCTAAATGATTCTGGCGAGACAACTAATATCGTGATCTGCCAAAAGCAGCATTTCTGCTAGATTAGCCTCCTCCTCCTAATTGCCAAAACTTACATGCTTCTGGCAGCAACACAGAGGTCTCTGGGGAAAAAGAAAAGGTGTCATTTGTTGCTGTAGTTAAAGCATTTGTCCTCCTAGGAAACATGATCTCATTAATTCCGGGTTCACTTGTAGAGGCTCTTACCTGCAATGTTGAATATTTAAACAGAACATGTTTAACGTAGCCTATTTAAGTTCCCCTCCACTGTTCTGAGAATCTGAAAATACTAAGTGGCCATGCTGTTGTGGTCCCATGGGCTACAAAGTTTTCTCACAGAGGTAGCAGATATATTTTTATCCAAGATATTGGACTTGAAGTAAACGTACCACTTATTCAATGCTTACATTATATGGATAAAAAGGAATTCGAAAGGTTCAAACACTTGGAAAATCAACCATGAGAATTATGGGATAATAATCAAAAACATTTGGAGAGCATCTTGTTGAATAATATTGTCTTACAAACTATAGTACTTTATGCCTGCAGCAATGTCATAGTTTGTAACATTCCAAACTGTTTCAAATCAATGGAGTGTGTCACTTCAATTTTGAGCATTAAGTCAAATATCAAAAACATGTGGCCCACTACCTATTTATGGAAACCTCAGCAACCTTCATTTTAATGATACTATAGAGTCTTTATAACCCTATTTTAATAACTAAGGGTCTATGTAGAAATAGCTGAAAAATCTGTCAAAGAATTCTGCATGAAACACACATAAACCTATCAAAAACTATCAGCCACAACTATTTGATAAGAAAAAGGGAGGAACAAGACAGTTGAAAATATACATTTTTATATTACATTTAATAAACAATTCCTAGAAAAGACTTACCGAGTCCAGAAAGCAGAGATACTCCCCTGAGCTCTGATCAATAGCACAATTTTTAGCAAAGCCAACTGTTGATAAGATAAAGTCAATGCAGTATATGAAAATCAATGGAATTTATATTTTATACTTGAAATTATGTAACATTAAACTTAACAATAAGCCCAAATAACTATACAAATTAGCATTCTTTCCAAAATAGATCTGAAGGATATTCTCATTAAGCAGCTATAGTTTGAACTGAGCACCCTAAAGCTGGAGCTCAGTGCTGATCCTGGTGCTTGTGCTGAGCCCTGAAGAAGCGCCAATCAGCTGGAATGTTGCAGCATCTCCAGAGTCTTGTGATTTACATTCAGATGCTTGGCAACTGATTCATATTTATGACGGTCACAGTGTCCCAAGGTCATGTGAAATGACCAAAACTTGCTGCAACCACCCAGCAGATGGGGGGAATGAAAACCAAACACTCCCCCACCCCACCCCCACTACCAATCCTCAACAGAAATGCTCACAACAATGAAAACCTCGGACAGGAGGAAGAGCGCCACTGGGTGGGCAGGCAGGTGTCTTGCTCGGCTGTGGCTTGGGGGGCACTTTTTCAGTGCCATTGTAACTTCAAAGAGTCACTAAGCGAACTGTTGTAAGTCGAGGACTACCTGTACTTTATCACTTTTTTCCTTTTTTTTTTTTTTTTTGGTCATCAAGTTTTTGACACCTTGCTAGGCAACTGATGGTACCGGATATTGCCATATCCTAAAAGTGGTACAATGGGTGAAAAGATTGAAAAGCCCTGCCCTAAATAACTCCTGATTTGCATGCATATGTAATGACACTGTTTTTCTTTCCCTTTCTATGTTTTGAAAGAAGCATTATAGTAAAGCTCCATTTGGAGTAAAGGTCCAAACTTCAGATGCAAGAGGAAAAAAAAATTTAAGACTTCATTTCCAAACAATGAGTAAAGCCAACATTTTGCAAACCAGTTTGCTATATACAATTGATATAATTGACATGATTTGCATCAATGCACATTTGTGTAACTATGTAATTGATTCTGTAACTAATGTAACTAATTCCACTGATTTATACATGCAAATAATATTAATTGCATAGATTCAAATTGAATGGGCATCCCTATCCTTCAAATTTCCATTAAATCAAGGTTTTAGCTGGTTCAGATGCCATGGAAAACAAGCAAGTCACAATTCATTTACGTAGAACGCTGCATTATTGTCCAAAGTTTTTGCCAATCAGAAAGTCAGATTAACAAGAGTTGGAAGGAACCTTGAAGGTCTTCTAACCCAAGTCCCTGCTCAAGCAGGCGGCTCTATACCATTCCAGATAAATAGCTGTCTAATTCCTTTTTTAAAACTTCCAGTGATGGAACACGCACAATTTCAAGCCATTCCACTGATTGTTTTCACTGTCAGAAAATTTCTCCATAGTTCCAGATTGGATCACTCCTTCATACATCCATTATTTCTTGTCCTGTCTCAGATGCCTTGGAAAACAGGTTGCTCCCCTCTTCTTCGTGAGAGCCCCTTAGATATTGGAAGACTGTTTTCATGTTATTTCTAGTCCTTCTCTTTGTTAGATTAGACAATTTGTACTCAGTGCTTGGTAAGATAATGCTTGTGATCACCCAGTGATTCACAATTTCCCCAATGGCATCAGCGTAATTTATTTATTTATTTTGGAGGGGAGACAAAGATAGACAGAGATCTTAAATTTTGGTATTCCATCTGAAATCTTTCAAACTATTGGGCAAAAATACTAAAATCTTACAAAATTCAGTGATGTAAAGATTAAAATCTACTAGTTTAAGCCACAAAGAAGGTCAACAAAGAATTTTCTTTCTCAATAATTTTTGTTATATGAAATTAAAACTTACTTGACTCATAAATTGAGACTTCAAAAATCAAGAAAGTGGGAATAAAAATAGATTTTTCTAAGAAAGAATGGAACAAATTCCAATTCTAGTATTAAAAATGGATAAAATCAGTGATGGGATTCAAATAATTTAACAACCAGTTCTTTGCCACAACCCCAACTTATACTTGGTGGCCTCACTCCCTTTCCCATATATACCAATCGGGAAACTAGAGAGATGAGGAGTTTATTCCTAAGTCCTGAGTCCCCTCACCATGCACGGCGCTCCTATTGGGCTTTTTTGTTCATTGTGGTTACCACTGGAAGTGTAAACAAGTTGGGTGGCAGTCACTGGAGGGTCTGAGACATTAAAAGGTCCTTGAGTAGACAGAGTAGGAGGCGGATGCGATGGGGGCAATATCAAGGGAGCGATGGGACTGAGGTCGCCATGGCTGAGGAAAAGAAAAAAGGCACCCGGGTCAAGGGGCGGGAGCGGGAGATAGAGATATCCAGTCGAGGCAAAAGTGGGGAACCAGTGCAGCTGCTACGGATTGTTGTGGCTGTGGCTGAAGCATAGCACTGCCTCAGCCTCAAAGAGTTCCTGTGGAAGCATCCTCCTCCTGGTGGACCAAGCTCGTGGGCAGCCTGCAAAGGGAGAGGAGGGGAGGGGGTGGACCGTGGCAGCTCTGGAGGTCCTTCCAGAGGGACGGTATTTATGTGTGTGCCTTCCCTGCACAAAGAGGTGTGGTGATGGCTACAAGTGTTCCAAGGTCTACAGAGGGGACAGCACCAGGATTCAATCTGGTACAAAGTGGGAACAAAGGGAAACAGAATGGTCAGCATGGGCGGCCCCGGGTCCCGCTGCATGGCTGCGGACGCCACTATCCCCTATAGAAATCTCCTAATCTCCTCTGGAGGAAATCTGGTCAAATTTTACTTGTATTGCTGTAGAAAAGTGAAGGTAGTTTACTTTGTGACACTCCCAGAATGTTACAAGGAGTCCAGAGTAGCATATCTTTCCCTAGGTGATGTTTCCACTATTTTTGTTTCTACCCCAACAGATTCGGTTCGCTGAACTCAATAAAAAATTAGGTATTGGTTCTGCTGAACCGGTGCAAACCGACTGAATCCCACCACAAGATAAAGTGTATGTTCACAGGAACCATTTTTTTAGTTTCATTCCTGCTATCCTACACTTGTTTACAATTGGATTGCAAAGGAAGTTAATATTGATTTGTATCTATCTACCTTTTAAACCTTTTTTGCAGGGTAGAATAAAATAAGAAAAGAGGAAACAAAAAAGTTTGATGGAACAGATTCCGTATGTGTTGTCAGTCTTAAAATTTAATTTTATTGATTTTTGAACCAATAAAGGATGGGTTTTAACAGCCTTTACATTACAAAGATCTTTGCCAAAAATAAAGTTACCACTTAAATAAAGTAAAATTATGAAAGTATAAATCCTATGGAAGAGTGAATTGATTGTTCCAAAATGTCTGGGTTGATAGAAAAAAGAAGCAATAAGAGGATAGAAAGAGTAATGGGGGGAAAATCCACACAGACTACAGAATTATGCTTTTAAAAAGACACATGATGGAAATAAAGGGATATAAAAAACAAAGGCCAAAATAGTCTTATTTTACACTTGAGAATCTAATCAACTTGAAACAATAAGCTCAAAGCAACACATGTAGGAACTAACCTAAACTTCGTATCACTCATCTTGTGATTTCATGTGTGCCTGCAGGAATTGAAGCATTCATTTGTTTCAAATGTTAACAAACTCACCAACTGCATTACAAGTATAAAAAGTATAGTTCAATCACTATTTTTTTTGAAATTTTGAAGCTTTGGAAATTATAAAGCAAAAATTCAGATCACCTATTTGATCTCCATCCATGTTTATTTGTCATTTATTATAATTTTATCATGTATCTAGAATTCTGTTCTGCAAATTTATTTTATGCTGTTTTCATAGGATTTTTTTACATGTTTTAACTTATACTTTGCCTAGCTAACTCATATTATCATACAGTAAAAGAAACACACTGGACCAATGAAAAATAATTATTTGATTATTACAACTTAATCAACTAAAATAATTATAATGCAAAAATAAAATATTTTTTCAAAAATGAAAAGAAACATTGAAATGAAAATAAACAGACAGGACAGTGAGCAATGATGTGTTTGAGCCATAGAAGAAACAACCTGTTCATGTGAAATAATTATTAAGAGATTTAAGAATTAAGTTATTTGGGGCAAAGGAGGAACAATCTGTCCAAGTCCAGATAATTATTACAGAATAAGATATTAAGTTGTAGAAACAAATGTTTAAGATACTAAAACAGTTTAGCCATCAGCTGTACACAGCAACCTTTTTTGACATCAAGGCAACTATGATTCCAGATATTTCATTCTGTACAAAAACTTTAAAGCGGGACTCGCACTATGAATCTTGCCTTTGGCATGAGCAAGGAATGCATTGTGATACTACTCTACTGAGGAGAGTCAAATGTCTGTGCCAGGCCTTGGCAATTTTGTAAGGCCTGCTCCATTACTGAAAAGAACATGTTGCCATGGCCACAGGAGTAAAAACCTAAGACCCCATGAGATATTAACATTCCTCACTCTTGGAAAGAAGTAGTTTTGTGGTAGTTTCTTTAAAAGCACTGACCCTCTCTTTTGTGGGGAGTTTTCCCTTTTGTTTTTCTTGTTCCTTTCCATGACAGAAAAGAACCAGAAATGAATCTTAATCCAATGTAAACACGGGATGTGAAGACTGTCACATTGTTTCATCCCTGGGGGCTGGAGAGGGCCTTGTTTCAAACGAAATACCTCTACACATGCTAACTACTCATAATTACAGAAAAGTAAATCACTAAGGATATAGGGATCAACAACATTTCCAGCTAAACAGGCTCTTCAAATGTACATATTCTACATTAAAAAGGATTTATTCCCTGTAGTCTCTTTTCTTATATACCTTTTCTCAACCTACACAGCAAAATTTGATAAAATACAGAGCAACATAAATAGAAAAAAATATTTTTCTATATTGCAGAACTAAAATTTAGATTTTTTTTAAAAAAATTATGCCAATGTGACAAAAGTTTAAAGATTTAAAAATTAATTTCTAATTATTTTTTATCTGAATTACACTAGGTTTGGACTCAGTATTTGAACAGGCTAGTGTATGAATAAA